TCAGGTTGGCTGACCACTTTATTCTTCGATAAATTTCTTGACAAAAAGGTATTAAATAGTACACATGGTCTCAAGGACGTATCTTGTCAAAGTCAAAGTCAAAGTCAAAGACAAAATCATTATTATTTCAATACGCCAGGAAGGCACTTTTGAACGTCAGCAATAGAAATTTAAAAGTGAAGCTATTTGCTCATTCCGAGGTGTAGATTCCTATGGAGAAGAACGAGCAAGAAACTCCATAGGTTACTCTTTTCCAATCAGGTTCACAATACAATTCTTCAGTTACACAGCTTGTTTGGTCCAGTCATCCTGGCGCTGACCAAAAAAGAATTGAAAGGCATGTCGATTGTGAAGTAGTCCTTGGGGAAATAGTCTTCAGTCCAGCGCGAGCTTAGCGTCTCAGTAGTTCATTTTTAACATTTTGGAACAAGAACCTTGGTTCAGTGATGTATAGAATGACAATTAAATAAAGTTTCAACCTTTTAAAAGTACTTATTTAAAGATTTATAAAATGCATCCCTAAGCACTCACTTAAACTGTCAAACACCAAGCGGTCACCGTTGACCGCAACCTATTGTTCTATAATTGTGTCTACAAAACCGGTACTCGACGAGTTAATATGAATGAATAGACTTTGGCTTTACAAAAAAAAAGACAAAACACCGATACAGAAACAGAACTAAAATCATTATAGTAATTGTATATGTAGTATATTAAAGGCCGACCCCCAAGCTATGTTCCACTAAGCCCCGGCTTACACGGCTAACCCGAAGACAATTAATATCTCTTGGCAACGCTAACCCCTACATGAGGGGCTAATTAGCTGAGAACTCATTAATCAGTATTGATGAGCTACGTATTGGACGGTATGGTTGACATACCGCTGAGGATCAAGGTGATTATTGGCGGAAAGATTAATGGAGACGGACTCGTATTTTTGTAGGATACGGGTAATGAGCAGACGGATTGCCTGATGGTAAGTGATCAAGGCCATCCATAGACATTCGTAGCACCAGTCTTTTGGGCCACGGATTGGACCTTCATGCCTGCAACCTCACTCACAACAGAAGCATTGTTTTACGACGTTTTTCCGTGAAACTGTGGTATCACATTTGGAGCCGGGTACATTCCCTATGATATACCGGTAATCTAACCGGGATTTCCATGCCGTCTGCCCCTCCTTGAAGAGGAGGCCTTTGTTCAGCAGCGAACCTCTTCCGGCTGATGATGTGGTATCACTGCGGTCAATCCGATCTTCGAGCTGACGATTAAATATTTATAGCTATACAATTGCCTACCGTCATCACTTATATATTATACACGTATTCACTAAAATTGTAGTACGTTAGAAATTCAACACAATTCAAAACGTAGTACCTACTCATAAACTATGCACAAACAGTTGACAAACGCTAGCTTTCAGAAATGAGAAATAGTCATCGTTGAACACAGTAATTACTTATCATCACCTCAACTACCTGGTTAAAGTCAAAGAAATATTTCCCATTTACACAAAGGGCTTTGACTGAAAACTGAAAGGCTTTGCAGCACTGACCTGAAACTTAAGTGTTACAGATGAAATCGTTCAGTGTACCGACGTACGGTTTTAACAAAGGCTGTAAGTCACGACTTAGGCTGTCTTGTGCCTATTTTAGGTCAAAGTCTTTGAACCAACTAGAGAACAAAAAACACTGTACGTACATTTGTTCGCGGTTATCACACGATTGGCTGAACTGACTTTGATGGGGTTTTTTTTAAAAAAGTTTGTTACACATAGAAACAGGTTTTAGTAGACACGGCTACACGTCGAGCTTTACATAACCAGTACAAACTGAACGTTAAATGTGCGGAAAGATGATGCGACGCGACACCAGGATAAACTGGTTTTGTATAGGTTGATGTGTGGCCGTGTGTACCAACCAAGCACCTACATACATCGTACGTAGCGTATTGAAAATTTGGCGATTTCAGCCTCAAACACGTTTTTTTATCCATTCTACCTATCATAATAAATTAGCAATATTTTCCTCAAATCATTACAAAAATTATAACCTTCACTTTTTGTATGAAAGGGGTTTTTTCCTAAGCATTTTATTTTCAACTTGGCTGATAATTTGACATCTCCATTCAATATCAACGTTGCCATGGAAACATCTTATTACAGAATGTTCAAAAAGTGATGGTAAGTACGCGATATATGTGTGCTCTTCACGGCACAGTAAACACACATACAAACACACAGAAAATATATTATTACTGATTTTGTGACGATCATTTTGTACGTTCACATTTCTTATTTTGGAAAAATATTATATTTGGATATGAAGGTGGCTTTTCCTGTTATAAATTAGGGTAAATTATGCCGGCAATATATAATATAACTACGTCTTATTAAATGAAATTATTATATTTCCAGTTAGGTAACATAAAGGTTCTCTGTACCAATCGTTTTCTCTACGTCACCTCCCACCACTGGTTCCATGAGTCAAAAAAATAAAGACAAAATCCCTCATCTTTTTTTTTTTAAGGGGGGAAAATCATCGAATGACTGCCCCCGCCTGGGTGAGGCGGGAGGGAGTGTCAGACTCTTACTGACTATAAACCACCCCGTTCCTTCTCCTACACGTCGAGCCGGAGCCCCGGTTACCCGTTAGGTTCTCCGCGACTCATCTAGGAGCTGTCGATGTAATAGTTGATTTATTAACTTACATTGCCCAATTCCCCCCTCCCCAATCTTCCCAATCCTGGTATCCCCAAAAATTCTCAAATTTGTAGTCCCTAAAAGGCCGGTAACGCACTTGCAACGCCACTGGTGTTTGAAATGTCCAGGGGCGACGCCAATTGCTTACCATGTTCCATCTGCTCGTTTACCGGCTGATCCCATGAAAGACATGGTTGTCCGAGTGTCATTACTGAACTCCGCCATACCTCCGCCATTGCCTTAAAGCTGCCTCGTGTTTACAGAAACTTGATGAAAGGCACATTAAAATATTCATTCACTTGTCCTTTAAGTTATGTTATAAGTAAGCTGTACTCTAAAACTACGTGCGCGTACATCGACCAAGAATCTACTCTAAAATAGTGGACATCAATATTTGTATAAATCTTGGTCAACAAGTCAACGTAATCGCTGAACATACATAAAAAAAACCATCTGAACATAGGATATCCTCCTTTTTTTGAAGTCAATAAATATAAAAATAAAATATCTACGTGGTTATTCAACCCAGAAATTGATTTCAACTCGCATAAAAAAGCGTCATACTAACTAGTATCTCGGTTAATAGTATGTCGATCTAATAGTCATCTAATTGAAATAGAACGCATAGCATCACGCCACCCTATGAGAAGCCCTACATCCGTGGGCTTGATTGAAGACTGCAGTGGTCACAGAGTCACGGTATTGCCACTTCTAGTTAAGTAATTTAAACGCCAATATTCCTTACGTTGCGTCACAAATATTTTCAAATATCTGACAAAATCTCTACATATCTTTCCATTGTTTTCAATGATTATCTTACCAAAAAATTAAAAATATCTTATCTACAGTTTGTGTAACTGTATTTTACATAACATTAAAGACCTACGAGTATGTATGGATATATGTTCATGATGCTGAGCAGTCCTTAACATTTGTGACCGGTCATCCGCACATCGTTAAAAAATGTTCTCGTCAAACAAGTAAAATAAATAATAAAAAATCAAATATGTAATAAAAAACTGTAACTCTTACAGTCGCAGATACATAGGAAACTTTGAATTTTGTAGGCACTAAAATAAACACCTAAATAAATGTTTTTAAGGTTTTGATTATACTTAGTAGTTCTAAGTTTGTAGATAAAAAAAATAAAATAAGTCATTATTACTGAGGTTACAAAACAATACAGTCACATTTTTTTTTAATATTACATTTCTTATTCTCCACGGACTCTTGTCCGTGCCCTTGTCATTCCATCACATTTTCTTTTAATTTACAGTCAAAACTAATTGTTACAAAAATCTTACGTGCTACATTAACCACTTTTTTTACTGGTGCAATTCAGTCACTATTATTATGCATCAGTAGGTACTTTTCCCAGCTTGTCCTTCGACGTAGGACATAGGTATTTCTTTTTATGTATTTGATGGGCCTACGTTTGATCATTGTCTCGCTAGTTGGTAAGCGATCATGCGGTCTCCGATGGAGCTCGTCGACCCATAAGCAACCTATTCACTCGGGCCTTGAAGATACCCAGGTTACCCTTCAGGAAATACAGACTCTGGCAAAGAATTCCGCTCCTTAGTAGTACGCACAAGGAAGCTTGATAAAAGACAGAATTTCAACAAGAATTGTATACAATTGATATGTGAGCGGTCGTATTCACATAAGTTTTAAAATTATCATTCCGTTCCATTCCAACAGAATGGTTTCAGTGTTTAATATTAATTATCATACATCATGCAGTTTCATCAAATATTGCAAACGAGTGGAACGAGGACGCGGGAGCACACTCCATATTAATTTAATAATTCAATATTTAAATCTGGCAATACTTCCAATTCGAAACTCGTTCCGATGACATTCGATTTGAGTCGAGTACGATAGCCGCAGTTCCCAGCGATAGCAATTGTACTGTATTGGTTTTTGCACGGAATTTAATTATTAAAATAAATAAAAGTTCAGTATGATTGGTTGTCCAAACTCAATCCAATTAGATTTGGTCCACTAGTTCCTTGGTCTGTGCTCTGGGTACAATAGAATTTTAGAAATCAAACGAAATGTATAAAAATTTCACTGACTAGAATGTGGAGTGGTCGCATTGACGATTGTTAGAATTGAATTGGATTTGGTTATTTTGTACGTACTATAATAAAGTCAAAGTAGTAGTACGCATAATACGCATATCAACAGGTAATAAATATAAATCGAATACAATTTTGTTCCATTGTAAGAGAAGAACAGTGCAGAAAATAATAAAGAAGCAATCACCCCTACTTAACAGCTTTTCTCTTTGTTGCAGAGCCTCCTACGTGTCAGTGTTGACGATAGTGGCGTTCTCTCTGGAGCGGTACCTGGCCATCTGTCACCCTCTCCATCTGTACGCCATGGCCGGCCTAAGGCGCGCCCTACGTATAGTAGCTGCGCTGTGGCTGGTCTCACTGCTGGCGGCGTCTCCCTTCGCGCTCTATACCACTGTCAGCTACCATGACTACCCCCCAGGTAAGAAAACCTAAGTGTTTTGTGGTATTGTTAAATGAACACTTTACTAATAGTAATATGGCGACACATGACACATGACAGTCACGCATGTCGACGATCGACGACACAAATCTACGGATGATGTCTCAAATCCTTCATCGCACGTTATGAAGTTTACATGCGAATAAACACGGATAGAAAATCCCAACGAATAACTGTTGTCCAGAAAACCCGCCAGGAACAATCACGTCGTTTGGTCAAACCTTCTGTTCTGATCTGAGAAGCACCTTACTCTTTGGTTCTAAGGAATAAAGTATCTACTAGACACGAAATAAAATCTTTTTAATTCTGTAATCCACGATCTTGCTACATTTTTCATGTGAATGCTAAAAAGGAAAAGAGAGAAAGAGACAATTAATATTTTTTTAGTTTTTTAGCGATGAATATCTGTTCCAAATACAGATTAGATTAGCTTAATGTGCTGACATCTACATCTGGTTGTTCACACTTTTCTATTTAAAGAAAAAAGTTATAATTCCCATCATGTTCGAAGATTTCGCTGAAGCTTTCTTAATTGATGAGTCCCAACTGACGTCTGATCAAACAATTCAGGATTGCGGGCTAAAGTTGAAAAGTTCACTTAAATATTAACTCTGATTTCTTTCTGTTCGTCTGACAGGGGTGCCTCCTACTGATGCCCATCCATTACACTTTTTGACCTCTTACACGAAATTGTTCGCTCATCTATCACCCGAATTAGATTTTGGTCAGGTACAGAAAAGTACTATTTTTAGGTAGTTGTAGGTCAGGCCCTTTTTCGTTTTGGAAACATTCTTGTTTATTTCTTACTAGCTTCTGTCAGCGGTTTTGTCGACTGAAGAGATCGCCCTTCTGCCGCTTTGACGTGAAGAGAACAAACAAACATACAAACTTTCACGTTTATAATATTAGTAGGGTATAGTTATTATCCATACTCTTTCTGTCTTATCAGTTATTAGTGTCTCAATTTCGATTTCTGAGTCGGACATTTCGAATACTTGTGGACTCGCTTCCTTTGAAACAAAAGCCGAGAATTAGGAAATAATTTGGAGCTTATAATAAACAAACATAAAATGAAATAATGAAACATTAATAAGTCTGTGAGAGTACTTAATGAGCTGAGACCACGGCCGCTAGTCGTAGCCTTTTATAAAGAGAATAGGTTAAATAGTGGCTGAGGTACTTAGGTAGGAGGTAGGAGGTGGGTAAGGTTAAATGTGTTGTGAACTGTTCAGTGGATAGGTATATAATTTCTGGAAAGCCTTTTTAAAGACTTTAAGAGCGCGTTCACACAAACGTTTGTCCAGGGTAGCCATACGCTTGCACTGAAGCCGCGACAACGCGACGTTTAAGATTTATCGAACGCCTACGCTGAACAGACGCTGATGTGACGGCGCTCTTAAAGACTGGAACACAGTTAGACTATAAATCTTCTCGGTATAACAGTATAGAGTATAACTTAAACTCAAGCGGATTGGAGATCGACGTATAAATCTTCCGTAGCATAATGGTAGCCCCCATTGTATACTTAGTTTACGAGGACCAATTACCCCTGCCCCCCGCCCCCCTCCCCAGTCTCTCCAATTACCGAATCCCCCAGGTGTCCATGGGCTGCGCCGATTACTTACCATCAGGTGATCCGGCGGCTCGTTTACCGGCTCATTCCATAAAAGAATCCTACAAAAGATTTTCTTTCTCCAGGATCTGGTAACGCGTCTCTGGAGTCAGCCTTCTGTGCGATGTTGGAGATGCCGTCGTGGTACCTGTGCGAACTGAGCAGCCTGCTGTTCTTCATTCTCCCAGGAGTCATCATCCTCTGCCTCTACGTGCGCATGGGGCTCCGAATTAGGTATGTCTTGGGGTACGTATCGGTTTTGTTACGGTTTTTAGTTATTTCATTTAAACCTTCTTTTAATTTTTGTACCATATTAATAACTGTAATAAAAAGCTTTAACTTTTTCCTTTTTTCTAAGTGGAAATCTTTTGTTTTCTATTCCTTACTTTTTTCTTTCTTAATTATTATGTTTTCTGTTTACTCACGTAACTGTTTGACGAGAAACCCGACTAGCTTTTCTTTCCTTTTCTTAACAAATAACATGTTGATAATTCACTAAGTCTGGGTAATCAAAATAATCTATTAGATGCTGTAATGGTAGTTAGAACAATCACTTATTAACTTACAATATGCCACATAATCTTCAAAGCCATTGCTATAGTCAGACTCTTTGACCGTCCTATTAGTTTTCTTTTTAAATCTTATTATAAACCTTCTAAGGCCTAAAATTCCAAAGCATCCAAGCGTATAAACTTGTCTAAATTACGCCAAAACAAATTATATTATTTATAAAGGTACCCAAACCGATCTTGTCAGACGTTCAGTCTTACTCAGTACATCTAGCTTATGTAGGCTTAAAATCATAGTTCTTAATGAGAACTGAATAGAATTAAAAGTATAAAGCAACTACACTGTAAACTATTAAACTTATTATTTTTGTTAAGCTTCTTTTAATTAAATAGACACTCCGAAATAACCCATTCATTTTAATATTATATCAATATTAACTTCTATTACTTTTGTACAATTTATCAAAACCACGACCTTATTACAGCTGAGCCAAAGTATAAATTCCAATAACTTCAAATTGTAACGAAGTGTTTTTTAACTATTATTGAATAAGTTTCGTTTAATGTTTTAACTTTGTACTAATTACAATATGAATAACTTTGAATATTCACGTAACATCACGCCTTTTTTATCCTCGACGGAGTAGGCAGAGGTGCACATTACGGCACTGAATGCCACTATGCAATGTAACACTTTTCACTATTTATGTTACGAGTCCCATGTAATAGGGGGTGAGCCTATTGCTATATACAGGGGACAATTTCAGACTTCGTGCTACTATACTATAAGTACTGATTTTTTTTATAAGCTTAGTAGTACTTTGTCCGACCCGGGAATCAAACCCGAGACCCTTTACCCGGAAATTGTACCTACTTGCGACCACACGGCCAACGAGTCAACTTTAAATATTCATGGGTAAAAGCGACTTTAAAATTATGTTAGAATATAATTTAGTGCGATTGTATAATGGTGTGAGGACAATGTAATTATGTAAATTATATTCTAATACTTACATAACAAAAGCACTTTTACAAGCTTTAATTTAGCTTCATCTAAAATAAAGATTTTTTTTTCTACAAGCCTACCTAATGGTGTCTTTCATCATTTATTAGATACCGTGGCTCCGCTCTCTTATTTACTAATATTTATATTTATTACAAAACGTAGATAGCTCCCACCACCCACGCCGTCAAATAACAAGCCGCTTTGCTATGTTTCGCAAAGGATTCAGAACCCTAAGATCTATTTTTAAGTTAGAAAAAATAAAACTGGGTCTATCGATAATGATATTCTCTACAGTCTAGTCTTCCCCTATACTTATTATACTCTTTGGTCTAGTCTAGTCAAGATACCACAAATACGACTACTAACCATAATTACCTAATTAGAAGTTTTTTGTTATTTTTTTAGTAATATCAGTATGAAGTTGTGTCCAGGATGATCACCAACTACAAGTAAAATGATAATAAATAAAAAATGCATAACCATAACATAACCAAGATATAACATAAACTAACCCCTTACTTGTACTGTTAGGAATCACTTACACACTTATAGGTTGGTGAAAAATAATATGTTCAGGAGATTCTTAAAATTTAAAAGAGCTTGGTGAAAAGGGGGCATAAAATATATTTTTCTAAAAGTACCTACTGTTAGACGACGAAAATCAACTAAAAGAACGTCACTAGTTAAGTAGATACTAATCCATATTATCGACAGCACTAGCTGTCATGTTGACGATGTCATCTGTCAAATGTGACAGATTAGAAAGTTTCCCGCGCAAAGAGTGGTAACGTTCGATTCTGGTGGGAGTTTTGACGAACATCACGCTGTGTTCTTATAATAATCCGTTTCGAATAAACTTTTAAGTATTCAAGTATTGAGTTATACTTAAAACTAAGTAGGTAACTCCTCAATCTGACCTTTCGCCGAACCTACAAGGCAATAAGTTTCCTTCGCACATACATGCAGGGTCTTCTTAGACTGCTCTGGGGCCCTTGGGCACACAATGATTCGGGACCCTTTCCCAATGTTCCTTTTTGCGTGCGTAACCTCACACTAGGTTTTTCTTCTGTATCGTGGGTACGTTCACATAGGTACCTAAACCACAATTTGTGAATCACACTACCGCGCAACGTGTTGCGGGTATGTTTCTATCGTAGAAATAACCTTTTGGTAAAGACGGCACTGCATACATGATGAAGAGCTTTGAGTCTTATAGATAGAGTGACGTTAGAACAGACAAAGGTCAAAGTTCAAATGGGTTTTGCTTGCAGTTTTATTTAGCCCCGGCATAATCCGTGCAAAGCGGCCTCTAGCACGGGCCCACGCTACATCCGACCTACATGCCTATTGCTACAGAATACTGGCGTCAAAGGTATTTTTCCAAATAGGTACATTTACAAATGCGACATTTAGGTATAAATTCAATAAATAGATTCAATATCTACATTGAAAATTTTACCTACAATACGTATGTACATATACCTACCTATAGGTTTGTTTTTATTTTCAGTTGAAAACACTTCAAGTCTTTTTCGCAGTGCTACCTAGACCTGTACCCTGCACATTTATATTTAGTATGCAGTAGTTCTTACTTTGATATTATTTCGTTGTGTGTGGCTCTAATACCTGAACGTGTGCCTCTCTGGTTAATTAAAAGGAATTAGAGGTCGTGTTATTGTTCGTAAGTTCGATATTCAAGTCTATTCTTAGTCACAGTGGGAATTTAGGGGTACAATCAGAAAAGGTTTTAGCTTTTGCTCCCGATTTCGTACGCGTATAAAACTGACCCGTCCTTTTCTTTATGTAGGATTTTCTATATTTACTCGTCTTTTCTACTATTCTTCTATAGAAGACCAGATCAAGATCTTCTTATCTTTTTTACTAATAGATTATTATCGACCATTTTTTATAACTAAATTTAAAATATCTGTACATTAGCTTACTGAGATAGAATTTTGACATAAAACTCCATACAAAATGTGTGCAATGTGTGTAGCAAATCTACAGATAGATAGGTTATAGAAAATGACCGTAAGTGTGGGAGAGCCATGCTCCGGCACGAATGGGCCGGCTCGACTGGAGTGATACCACGGCCGAGCAGAAGACCGACGTGAAAAACGCTTTCGTTGTTGCTTGTTCCACATCAATCATTATATCACCAGTTACCTAAAATTATGTTACCTATATAAAAAATTATGATATTTTATAGAGCTGCAAATACTTTGATACAACTAAGCCTAAATGAGACGTTTGATAAAACAATTTAAGTCTGTCACCTTAAATCAGTTAGTTGAAAACGTATTTTTATACAGAAAATCTTGGAACCAGGTTTTATTTACAAAAGGTTGAGAGAATCTTAACGTAATGTCATTATCAGTCGGCGCTAACTCTCTGTAATCTAGAAGTTGTTAGACAAAGCGACGAGACTGTCCTGAACTACTAACTTGTTTTAAGTTATAACTTGATAAACGTGGAGTTTGTCTCTGATTACTTTACAATCTGTCATACCGTTTTAAAGTTTCTTTAATCTAAAGACTGATTGAAAATTAACAAGTACCTAACCTGGTTGTCTTCAAGTCCCAAGTGAATAGGTTGCTTATGGGTAGGTGGACTCCATCGTAGGCCGCACGATGGCTCGCAATCGCAGCGGCCAAACCAATCTATTACGAATAAAAAATTAACCTATGGAGTTTCTTGCTCTCCCTCCATGGCTATCTCCATAGCCATCTACATTTAGGAACGAGCAAGTACCTTTATTAGTCCCTATAGGACAACAGATTTTCTTTGACATGTAAACGTAGTCCGATCATTAAGTAGGAAATATGGGGGTTACCTGGAAAGGTTTTCGGGAATATTGCACCTTGTACGTGCGCCGCTCGCGCCGCAAAATAAAAATCGAAAAGAGCATAAGAAACTCTGAAAAATTACCATTTTCAGAACCCCCGGAAAACATTACAGGTAGAACGACCAAATTGCTAAACATTTTCACATATTTGCCTAATGAACTAGCGAGCTGATTCGAATAACAAATATTGGCCAAAAGTCAACAATACTAGCAACAAACCCGTCACTTCTGCTATTGTACGAAAAACATTAATGTTTTTAGGCTTTTAAGAAATAAACGACGCTATATTTTGTGAAATAGAATTAAAATAAAAGTAAATTGCTTTCCCAACCCCAGCTTCAGAGATGCTCAAGGCCAACCTAGATTATAATATTTGATTAAGCAAGCACTTGAACTTTACAGTACCAGTACGACTTCAAGAAACCAGAGAAATGCTTGATATTGAAGAATTTAGATTAATGCAGTGAAGTGACGAACAGAATAAAATTACCTACAATTTGAATTATAAATGTGTGAGTTTATGTGTGTATTTGTTAAATAGTGACGTCTAAATAGCTGGAAAGATCGGGACGCATTTGGAACAGGGTTATATTATGGTCTGTAATAACACACAGCCTACTTTTTTGTTATACCACGGTGATGACAAAAAAGCACACGGCCCACCTGATGGTAAGCGGTCACCGTCGTCGCGGAGAACCTAACGGGTAACCGGGGCTCCGGCTCGACGTGCAGGAGAAGGAACGGGGTGGTTTTTAGTCAGTAAGAGTCTGACACTCCCTCCCGCCTCACCCAGGCGGGAGCAGTCATTCGATGATTTTCCCCACTTAAAAAAAAAGCGGTCACCGTGGCCTATGTACGCTTGCAACACTTGGGG